AAAGGACAAAAAAGTGAAAGAGGAAACGAGAATAAAAACGAGAGGATCTGAGAAGACGTCAAAAATTACGACGCGTTGATTTGGGGATAGCGCGCGCTGACACTCGTCGACAATGGATAACGCAACGCTTAGCGCTCCAATTTAGGGACGGCAGTTAGTTACAAGTCAGCAAGCTACAAGTAAAGTGAGCAAAGAAGTGAGTTGCAAATAAGCATGCTATAAGTTTAATTGTGTTAACAAGTTTTGTAAAGCGTTGTAATTGCTTTAACGAGTATTGTAAAGTGTTTTTACTGTATTAGCGAGTATTGTAAATTGTTTGTTATACAATAAAGTTAATTGTCCTACAATTTGGTCATCGTGAGCATTTATTTAACAATCCAGCGATACGAGCCGGAAGATATTTGGGAAATCCCTCAAGGTTTCAAGGATAATCGTAACAATATTGTAAATTTTCGGCCTGTGGCAGCACTTCGAACAGCTGTTTGGGAACTGGCAACGCTATGGAAATTCTTATCTTTTTCTTTGTTCTTTGTGATGCGCCAGCTGTCTTTTAGTTTCGTTTGTTTTGATTCTGTGATAGCTCATTTGTGCACACAACTTTATAAATAATTTGGTGCTTAGATTTAATAATAAATAAGTACAGTGCTTAGTTGAAACGTGAAGAACGTTAATTTTTAAGTAAACCACTATGATAATATACATACATATCTAAAGCATAATATACGTTTAAGCACAAATGTGACTGCGTTTAAGTGATACATTTGTAGTTGCTTATCCATAAATATAATAGCGATTGCATATTTTACATACGATTTGCAAGTACAAAACGGCAGACAAAAGCATTACTATTACTTTATTATTTCACCAAAGATAAACTTGCGATAATGAACCGATTGCTGCAAATAAACTAACGAACGTAGGACACTAGCAGCAACACATTTGCAAAGTCGGAAAACTTACTGGACACACAAAGACCAGTATTATCAGTTTGCTGCAGGAAGAACAACGCGGCAGTTGTTCTTAATGGAATCAATAGCGCGTACATGTACGCCCTCAGCCAACAGCTGCCGAATATGGCCAACGTTACAACGCTCAAATACACTAAACGCGCAGACCCAACGTCACTGTCACCTAATAAATGCAGCAAACATTCCAACTAAACGTCAATCAATTGCTTTTATACGAAGCCGGACTTTGTCGTCAACAGCAACAAAAACATTGTTGCTACCCGCTCCCGCCCCTCTGTTATCACCCCGCTTACAAACACGTTCATTGTTCTCGTCGTCGTCATTGCGATTGTCTGTGGCGACGCCGTCGTTATTGTGTAATAGAAATTTTTGCATAGTTGGTACAAAAAAAAGTTGCACACTTGACGGCCACTATCGCTGCGAGCACAAACGCAATTGTTTTTGCAAGTGCATTTTGGTGTCTAAATATTCACATTCCTACCCCATTCAGCTGCTAAGTGATTGTCAACAAGGGCGGACGCAGACGCGTTTTATTTCAAGTAATTTGTCAAAGTAAGTTAAGTAATTTATATTTATTTATTTGTAATTAATTATTTGAAACCGCCTTAACATATTTCATCGGGGTAGTTTAGAGAAACGCAGCTCCGGAATAGAAAACATGGACGTACCTGACGGAGTATTTCGAGGCAGTGTTGACCGTTTCAATGGCGTGCAAGTAGAATCAGCAAAGGAATACGATGAATCCACAGATTTTGCTAAGAAACTACAGAGTAAGTTATGGAGGTAACTAAGTTAGTTAGTTAGTTTCGTTAAGTTTCAGCATAGAGTATTTTTGTCATAGAATTAAATTTTTAATTAAATGATAATTAGTATATGTACATACGTGCTTTATAATTGACCTTTCAGCGTCCGCACTTAGAGCTGTTCATTATAACAAGGGCAAATAAATGTCGAGTAAAGATAACGTTTATATTCAAACATTGAATTCCACTAGTTCCGTTTGAAGGCAAGTACATAAAATTTTGGTAAAGCAAGTTATGAAAATTTAGTTAGCACTCCTACGCAAGTTGATTTTTACTATGAAAATATTGAACTATCTACATAAAAAGTAAGTGATAGTGATTAATTGCTCTAAAGATAAGCAACTATAGCCAGCGTATAAAACAGCAAAGGTCCAGGCAGCTATGTACATACATACATATATATTTGTTTAGATTGGAATTGTTGACATCGCGGAAGTGCTATGTACCTTAGGCGTTTTAGTTAATGTGAAATTATCAGCTAAGTCAAAATTTTTTGCTTTTAAAGCTGACCTTTACAATTCTGTTGAACTGTTAAATACAGCCATCACATAACTAGACCAAATCTAAAATGTATACACCTACGCAATCACCTTATTTATGCATATAAAATTGTCTCTTGCAGCATCTTTGAACTATTGGATGTCGATTAAACGCCGAGCAATTTGGTTTAATGTGCAGAAGGAACATGCCGATTGGGTGCCGCACTTAGCTAAGGTATGTATAAATTTTAATACGCAAATTCATATATCTAAAACGCTATTTAACTCCACCGCTAAATTACCTTGCAGGTCGGCTTTGATTTCCATCATGTGTCAAATTGTACCTCATCTGTTGTAATGTGTCGTTGGCTGCCAACCGATGAATATGCCAATATACCAACTTTCTGTCACACTATGCTTGGTGTAGGCGGACTTGTAGTCAACGACAATAATGAAGTTCTAGTAGTTAGCGATCGTTTTGCATTGATAAAGAATAGTTGGAAATTGCCGGGTGGCTATGTTGAGCCAGGTACGTCAAATGCAGTACCTTAATTTGCGTTTTGTATGTAACTGCATTTCAATGTCACTTTATTGCAGGTGAGGAAATTGTTGACGCCGCCATACGTGAGGTGAAAGAGGAAACCGGTATTGATTGTGTATTCCGCACAGTGATCAGTATACGCCATTCACATAGCGGAAATTTCGGTTGCTCGGACATGTATGTGGTGGTGGCGTTAAAACCTCTCAATTCTGAAGTGTGTAAATGCGATCGAGAAATTGAAAAAGCACAATGGATGCCGGTGGACGAGTATTTGCAGCATCCAGATGTGCACGAAACAAATCGTCACTTCGTACGCACTTATTTGGATTATAATAAACGTAATATACGTTTTACATATGAGCGTGCCCAGCATCGGGTATTGAAGCGTGAATATGCGTTGTTTTATATGAAACCAATTGATGAGGAAACAAAAAACGAAAGTGATAAGGCATAGCATGCCAATGTTATGTTCTAGCAAATGCATGTGAGTATGTAGTGGGTCGGCCCAATTAACTCACGATGTTGCCTTTCTCATAAAAATGCAATAAATTATAGACATTTTAACTTTTTTATGTGATGTGATATGAATATATAGGAAATCTGCATTACGAATAAATTTAAAAAACGCTTGAAAAGGTTCAAAAATAGCATAGAAGTATAGAATTTTTAATAAATCAAATTTTTTTGCAAAAACCACACTAATCTAAAAATTTTATTGTAAACTACAGATTTGAATACTAATAAAGAATTTTTATTTATTAACAGCTCGTATAAATTTAAATTCAGCCCTATCGCCAATTTCGTGTGAATAAATCTTTCCCATAATTTAACATGCAAAACAAAAACAAATTGGTAAATTGTTTTTGTTTTGCTTTATAATTTTTCATGGAAATTCGCGATAGGGCCGATTGTGTTTTGTTGTTAATTATTTTATTATTAATTATAAGATTTGTTGTACTTTTTCCAAAGGTTAGAAGTGTCTTTCATTAACCGGGCATGATGAATATCGATCTCAAAGTGATTACGAGTTGTCGAAATAAAATCACTTGAATAAGAAAATTCGACTCATTTCGTAAGTCAATTCTCTTCACACCTGAGAGCGCCATTTTTATGCTTTTAAAGTCACCCTACCTTCTATTTTCTGTAAAGGAAAGTTCCATGCTGCCTTGCAATGGGATTCTGCTAAATTATAGTTCCGAGCATCCCCTCAAACGAAAAGCTGGACTGCCTAAAAATATGTCCCATGCCACTTTTTCATATTTTTGGGCACAATTTTTTTTAGCGATTGAAATTTAGGCTGCTGCTAACAATCCACATCACCTCCTCAAGCTTTATTATTAGAAGATGTTAAGTGCTAAGTATATTATCGCTAGATTTTTAAATAAAAATACCAAACCAACAGAAAAGTAGCTATTGACATCAATCGAAACGAAGTTGTGTTATTGTGAATCATCTGTGGGGCGGTTCAACGTCAGTATTTTAGCGAATGTATGTATGTAGTATATAATCTTACCCCAATAACTTACATGTAAATTTGAAAATATATTTTTTTACTCAAAACTATACACCAAAAAAGCAATTTTTTAACTCCCCAAATCAACTAACCCGTCATGATGCAATAAAAAAAGGTTTTAAAAGTTCGCGTTCGTCTAGCTCCGATCGCCATCTTAAGCTGTATTAGAAAAATTCAATTTGCCCCTTTGAGAAACCACTTTAAATATTACAGCGATTTTCAAAACTACTTAAAATTGTACTCTCAGCTTTTCACAAATTTTTAATTACTTTGATACGAAAAGAAGGATTAATTATATATTTTCCAGTATATTTGTGTCAAAATCCTATATATCGAACTTTAAGCAAAGTAAAAATCTAGTGTTTAAATTTAGTAAACATTTATTTTATAAGTATCGTGTAAGATATGTACATATATCATTTAGCTTGTTATAATTGTACAATTTTCATAAAAAATTGCAAAAATCTCAGTTTTTCACAATTATTAATTAAATATTTTGGTACAAGACAAAATTGTACTAAATTTAGTATTATTTCGCCAAACGGCTTCGTAAGCTATAATCAACCTTGAGCTAAAGGAGCGTCCAAAAGAGCTGTAACTACCCATATCACCTTTTATTATTGCATCATGAATCCCGCAGACTCTTTTAATCAATCGCCACAAAAGACTTATAAGTAAAGAAACTAAAAAACAACGTACTATAAAATATAATTACAATATTATGGAATGAATGTATGTATGTACATTATTACTTTTAGATGAGTGCAAAATAAGAAGTAATGCAATATTAACAAACTAAAACACGAGCGGCACGTGGCCACAATCGTTGTCAGCATATTTACGTGCGACTGCTACTGGCGCGACGATGGTTATCATTTGGGGTTTCTAAAAGTAGATTATAACTTCTGGCAAAATGCTTTTGGGCGTCAAGTGTTTTATAAGTTGTCGCCTGTTGCAGTTGCTTCATTTGAAAAGTTTTTGTTGATACTAAAAAGTAATGTGATTATTTCTCTACATTATTTCTAAATCATTCACTTACTCCTTTTCAGCTTTCCATTGACGCGCATATATCTGGGCATTATGTAAGCATCAGTTTTCTCTTTCAAATTTGACCAATTTATTTTATTTGGCATTGGTGAATGTACAATAGTTACTTTAGGGCTATCGGAATCGTCCTCATTACCTAGAAAACGGAGTGGTCGTATACGCGTACGATCACCACGCCTAACAACTGCTGACGATATAGTGTCAGATGGCACGGTTTGAGGGGAGGGTGTTGTAATATCTATGATGTCACTTAATTTTCTCTCGGGAGACGAATCAGTTGAAAGCATTATAGTACTGCTGGTCGGTTGCTCTTTAGAATTTGTAGTAAATATTTCCACATTTTCCTCCACACTATGCAAATGATTGATAACATTCGCGTGAGTTTCAGGCTCTTTTTCATCCTCAGTTAATGCTGGAATTTTCGGTGGCATGGGTGAATCGAAACGGCTCTTACGTTTCTGTGTCATTTCCGCACTAAGCTCCCTTGATGATCTATAATGACTTGTACTGGCACGCGGCCAAGTAGGAGCGGCATTTGTTTGGTAGGAATTTGATGCTAAGGGGGAAAAATTGCAATTAATTGTAATTTTCCTAAATATATTTGCAATCATTTATTACCGCTTGCTTGACAATTGGTGTCATCATAATTCTCATTAGCGTATTCATAGCTTTTACCAAAATATGTGGAAGATTTAAATGACTCTGTGGAACTTCTAGGTGTGTTGCTTGTACTAGCCGCATCATTTGGACAACTGCTGTGGCTGCTATTACTGGCAGTAAGATTCTTGATCTTGTTAAGGCACACAGATTTACGACGCGTACGGTTTGCAATGCACGACACATCGAAGACGTCGGCTTCCTCTAACTCAGTTTCTTCGTAAATAACATCAGCGCCCCTCAAACTTTTGCGAGGAGCAGATTCTTGGTAATCAGATGGTCTAAATGAATCAGCAGAATTAGCAGAAATTGTAGAAACTGTATCATCCGAATCAGTTTCTTCATAACCAAGGGAAGACGTCCGATTTCTTATGTTTTGCATTTTCAGCGAGGAGCGCCGGCGCGTTCGGTTGGCAATACAACTTACGTCTAAAGAATTTGTGGTTTCGCTTTTATTGTTCTTTCGAATTTCTGTAATTAATGATTATTTTAATATTTTCATCCAAGCATATCGTTACCACAAGACCACATTGTTGCTGAAATGCAAAAACCCGCAACTAACTAACGAAGTGGAACTTATAATTTGATGAAATGCATCCTAATCAATCAAAAATTTATTTTGGGATTTTTAGATAGTTACGGCTTTTTGTATTTCATATATATGTAATTGTCTATATTACTGAAATTATATGTATTTTCAAAATACCCTGTTTATCCAATTTGCGTTGCTGCTCTGCCTTAGAATCAATAATTTGTTCATCATTCGTATCAGCACAATCTTTAAGCACGTCGAACACGTTATTTTCCTCTGCTTCATCTTCTTTAATTATATCGACTTTGTTCGAACGACGGCGGGTGCGTTGTGCTATGCAACTTACATTTGAAGATTCGAGCTTCACATATCTTGGCGGTACATATATACTAGTGTTTATAGAAAGATTATCTTGATCAACGGCAACGGAAGTCGTGTGACTCGTCGTCTTTTGTATGTATGTTCGGTTGGCTACACAACTTACGTCTAACGCGCTAGTGGCTTGATTTTTAACCATTTCGCGAGTTGCTAAAGTAAATAAAAAACGTTCATAATTTACACACGTAGCTTATTTTGAAACTCTTTGTACTATACCTCCTCTTTCCCGTCGTTGGGTTCTGTTACAGCCTGGCTGTTCTGAATTAACATCGACTATTTTTTCATCTTTCTTATTAGCGCATTCTACACCTTTGTTTTGCTTTACCTCAAGCAAAAGTGCGTAGAAGTAGTCCAAGAGGACTTGCCCAGAATATGCTTTACTTTCATCATGATCTCCCAATTCACTTTCTATATAACTGCTGGAACAAAATGTATTATCTTCCGTGTTGTGTAGTTCGTCTTCAGTTGCACTTTTTGTCGCTGAATCATCATCATCATACTGAAATACTTGATAAGGTCTTGATGATCGATACGAACTAGACGAGCTGTCGCCATCCGCACTTTCTTCTACATAGAGAGACGGAGGACGTACTGCTAATGATTTACGCCGTGTTCTTTGTGTGATAAATGATGTGTGCAACGTACAATCTTGTTGTTGACCTTTTGTTTTGGTATTGTTCTCCGACCGCTGTTGTCGGCTTTTGCTGGGTATCCCTTCGTTTATGCCTAGGAGAAAAAGTATACATATAGTTTCTGTATGGTTTACTTAAGAATAATTGTACCAATATTTTCTTTTACACGGGAACTGTGCGGCATTTCTGGGCTTTCAAAAGCATCTACTAATCCTTCATCCTCGCTGAAGATAGCCTCATCATCACTTGAGGAAAGTTGTTCATCTTTACTGCAGTTCAGTTCCACGTTATCGGTGATACTATTTTCAGTATTATGGACATCAATTATATCTCGCTTGTTTTCGGGTATTCTGCGACTGCTACCCATTATTAAAACATCTTCATCATCGCTAAAGGATGCTTCTTCGGTTTCATCCAGTATTCGAAGCGCATTTTTTCTCTTCATTTTCGGTGGTAAAATTTCTTCGGTGATACTTTTTTCAGTATTATGAGCATCAATTATATATCGCTTGTTTTCGGGTATTCTGCGACTGCTACCCATTATTGAAACCTCGTCTTCATCATCACTAAAGGATGCTTCTTCGGTTTCATCCAGTATTCGAAGCGCATTTTTACTCTTCATTTTCGGTGGTAAGATTTCTTCATAAGAATCCTTTTCTTTCCCCAATTTTTCGTCATTGTTTTCGCATACATCGACCTCAGAATTTTTATCTTCGTCCAACGTTTCTGTGCATTCATTTTCGTTATCAACACTCTGTTGCTGAGAGGTCAGACTCTCATGTCCACTATCTGAGTTCAAAATTCTCTGGCATGTGTCACATTCAAATGAATTGCCTCGATGTGGCACACATCGTAGATGTATAGCCACAGAACCGCATGTTACGCAGTACTGGAATGGATTTGCATCACTGCTCTGCCCGCGTCCTTCCTCATTTTGGCATATTTCTGCTCCACATACATTAGGCCTTTCCATCAGTTCGGCATACGCGTTGGGTACCAACTCCCACTCGGCGTCCCTTAATTAAATAAATGATATTACAGTTTTCATTAAATTTAGTTTATTCACTTACTTATCTTGAACGAAAACACCCCAATAACACATACTGGTTTTGAATTTTTGAGAGTCATTGCACAGTGGACATTTGAAGAAATACCCAGCATTTTTGGCAAATATTTGTAAGCAATATTTATGAAACCAACCATTGCGGCAACACGGTGCACGTATGATTTTCGTTGAACTAAAGCGTCTACTTTCATTAAAAATCTTCTCATAGCAAATACAACAATCCTCGTCGGGTTTTGGACGGGTGTTCACCTTCCGGACATGACGGTCGCAAAACGACCGAAAGGTATCTAGAAATTGATTCATAGCACCGCGTTCAATGCCACAAATCATGTGAAAATTGCGATAACAACGCACTTCACAACATCCAATATTGGCGTACATTTTTCCACAATAGCAGCATTGCTGTAACATAGGGCAAGCAAGAAATAAAAAATGTGAAAACTATTGATAGTTTGAGCACTCACAATTTTTGAGATGCGTGCCCGCTCTGCCGCAATATCTTTGGGTAGGAAACCAAGAAAGCCTTCATCCTCTGAACCATTTTGTTGCAAACCCGAGGACAAGTACTATTTAATTAAAGAAATTTGTCAATATATAAAACCGCGTTTTTGTTCATTTACGTATGTGTGTACATAAGTACGAAAGTGCCTATGCTTATACTAACCAAACAATTTGTATGGACGCCCTTCCTGTTTTTCGTTAGAAATTCCCCATAACGAATGGTGTCGCGACGGTCCAATGCGCATAATTCGCACTTCATGTTCACATTTAAATTACAGTGTTTGGTTTAATTAATAATAAATTGTACATATATGTCCTTCGTAGAACGATAGCAATTTTGTTTGCCGCCTATTCACAAATGACAACTGTCAAGAATCGACTTTATAGCCGTTGCGCATCCACATAAATATTTCGTTACGTTATTACGTTTCGTAAGCTTTTATGCTACATTTATGTTCAGGGTCCCATAAGGGGCTGTCCATATATATTACGTAGGGAGTTTTCGCCTGTTTTGAACTCCCCCCACCCCTCACGTAATAAATTGTAAGATTTAATTGACCCGCCCCCCCCACCCCCCCCAAGCCCCCGCCCGCCACCCGCCCTCGCAGATCTTACANAATCATGTGAAAATTGCGATAACAACGCACTTCACAACATCCAATATTGGCGTACATTTTTCCACAATAGCAGCATTGCTGTAACATAGGGCAAGCAAGAAATAAAAAATGTGAAAACTATTGATAGTTTGAGCACTCACAATTTTTGAGATGCGTGCCCGCTCTGCCGCAATATCTTTGGGTAGGAAACCAAGAAAGCCTTCATCCTCTGAACCATTTTGTTGCAAACCCGAGGACAAGTACTATTTAATTAAAGAAATTTGTCAATATATAAAACCGCGTTTTTGTTCATTTACGTATGTGTGTACATAAGTACGAAAGTGCCTATGCTTATACTAACCAAACAATTTGTATGGACGCCCTTCCTGTTTTTCGTTAGAAATTCCCCATAACGAATGGTGTCGCGACGGTCCAATGCGCATAATTCGCACTTCATGTTCACATTTAAATTACAGTGTTTGGTTTAATTAATAATAAATTGTACATATATGTCCTTCGTAGAACGATAGCAATTTTGTTTGCCGCCTATTCACAAATGACAACTGTCAAGAATCGACTTTATAGCCGTTGCGCATCCACATAAATATTTCGTTACGTTATTACGTTTCGTAAGCTTTTATGCTACATTTATGTTCAGGGTCCCATAAGGGGCTGTCCATATATATTACGTAGGGAGTTTTCGCCTGTTTTGAACTCCCCCCACCCCTCACGTAATAAATTGTAAGATTTAATTGACCCGCCCCCCCCACCCCCCCCAAGCCCCCGCCCGCCACCCGCCCTCGCAGATCTTACATAAGGTTAAAAATCCCCTAGACATGTTTTTTCAATTAAACATTAGAAAATACTATAGGGCTATTCGCGATTCAGTGCATAAGAGCTGACAAATTTATGCAATTGCAGAAATATGCCATGGATTGTGAGCGACCTTTATTAAACTGTCATGGTAAAGCTTTTACAAAACAATTTTTGTGCATCAGCTTTGGTTTTGTTTATGAATGCAATGCAGAGCATTTTTATGCTATGGATTTTCGGTATTGCAAATTTGCCAAGCCATGACAAACAAGAACGATAGAATACACCAGTTCATTACACCATGCATGACAAATGCAAATGCGTGTATTTTGTTTGTGTATTGCAAAAAATTTGGAATTTGATAATTTTATAGAGATGAAATTAGATACATGAAATCAGCAACGTGAATACAAAACCGCAACACGTGATGTTAGTGGTTATAAGGTTTAAATAAATAAATTTGAATAAGTATATACGGGAGGTTTATAAAGATTAATCGATTATAACCTTTGCCTTTCAAGCGCTTTCTAAATAATTTGTCCTGCCCTTAAAAATAGCTTTTCAAATTTATTGGAACGTCTGTTTCGGAGACGTTGGTGATACAAGAAATTAATTTGCCATTAAATATTTGAAATATCCAACTTATTCAGCCTAACCTGCTCCGCTGGTGAATGAAACAAACGTAAGTCCACGTTTTTATGCAAATTACACACCTTGGCTTAGGCATTATTAATTTTTTATTCACAAATTAATTATATAGTATTTTTCCACAAAAATTCAAACGAAAAGTTTCAGAAAAGAACTAAATTTCCACAAAAATTCAAACGGAAAGTTTTAGAAAAAAAAACAATGATACAAGCAAATAATAAATTGCCATATTGCCCCCAAAATATATGTAAATACTTCCAAAGAAGCAAAAAATTCAAATTGCATTCCAAAATTCGCCATTGCTGCCAGCTTCAACGATTTATGTGGCATGCTTTGTGCATTTTCATACAATTTATCTTATCTGTCAAAGCGAATCTCTCACGTAATGGGCTGTTTTTGCTTACGCGTAAAAGCGCATTTAGCGCATTTAGCTCTAAATGCTACTCTAAATGTACATTTATCCATACAAAATTCGTCACCTAAATGCAACTAAATGCAACTCCATTTTTGCATTAAGAATCTAAATGCTAAAGCAACCCTGTGATCTTCCAAAATTTCCACGAGGTTCATTCCTTATCTTTTTGGACTAAAATCTGAAAAGTGTCAAAATGCCAGAGCGTAAGCAAAATGCGCTCACTAAAAGAGAGTAACAGGAAAAGTAAAGGAACGCAAAAAACCAAATTTTTAGTCCAAAGAATGGCAACAACAAAACTAACGTCAAATAAGAACAGAAATGTATGTACAAAACACATTCACACAAGCACAAGCACAATAAACACTTGCTATATCAATTATTTTTTGCCTCCTTCCAATTTCAATTCATTTCTTTTACTTTTTAGATTATTCTCACTTTTTGCGTATTCTTTAATTTCCGTTAATTTAAATTCAGTTGAGTTTGACACTTTTCAGGATTTTGCCAGAAAAAATTCTTCTGACTAAATCTGACTACTTCGGACTGATGAGAGTCGCTCTCACTGACTGTTGCTCTCTCATTTTTGCTGTCATTTCCGAGTTAAGGAACGCTTTTTGGACTAAATCTGACTACTTCGGACTTTTTCTGACTATTTCTGGGAGATAAGGAACGCGCATACGATTCGAACATGGTTTAAAGAGAAAAAGTGGTAACATTGCTTTTTCGAGTATACAGTTGCTAGCTGCGTTTCAGTGATCGCCGATTGAGATTTCTTTTATTTTACATTACATATTTGGATAAAGAAAAGTTAAGCAAATTCAACATCGATGTGATGCTGATAGAAATCTGGATCAATTTGTGATCAACTCTGTTTGGTTTGTTTCCTAATTAGGTGAGGAAATTTTAATTGACAGCACCGACAAATGAATATATACACAAACAAATGTTTGGTTATGGTTAAAATCATTCAAGTTTTTGTATTGAATTTTTGGTTTAAAATTTATTTTTCCCTTTTCAGTATGGTTTTTGCACATTTTCTTCTGCGTGAGAATTGGTCGTAATATATACGGATCTAAATAAGAGACTGGAACACGGCTGTTTAACAAAAGCATACGATTTCGAACTCGCGTAAATGTACATTTGCTAAATGCTATAGCATGAACGCTCTTCGAAAACATATGTTCGAAAGTGCTAAATGTTGCATTTTAAATGCAGCAAAAACGCTGCATAAAGCGAAGCAAAAGTTTTATGTGGCACCAGCTTAAAGCTTGATATACAGTTCAATGTGAGCGTGAACGTTCGCAATCATCTATAGAAGGAAGAAATCAGCCGACACGAAAAAATCTAAATTCCGCAGTTTTCTGCGCTACGGGCTAAAACTACAGAAAAATTCTGCAGTGTTGAGTTTTCATTTATATGGCGCTTTGGTAAGACAGATCGTGTCAGCTGACTCGGGTTTACGTACCGATAGGTTTACGTCCTTGACTAATTTCAGCTTAGGGGCTCCATTAATCGACAACATTCACGTATATACAGACTGCGTTTAAGTATACGTTCTGCGTTCTTGACTAATTTCATCTTTAGGCAGTCTGCACACGGGTCGTATATATGAACGAAAGACACAAGATCACGTAAGAACAAGAGAATGAAAAAAGTCGATTTTTTTAGCGGGTTCTACGCCATCTTGTTTCACTGGAAAATGAGCGAAAAGTAAACAAAGCAAAGAAAACAACGAAAACCAAAATTAGCCAAAATCATTGTCAGCCACTTTAAACGCACAATTTAGGTAAAATGATGCAACAAAATGCTTTAAAATGTGTTGTCATGTTGAATTAACTCTTCTTTACTTGAATAAAAGTGTAAAATAGTGGTGCTTGTGATGTAAACAAACGCTCAGCTGACGAACCCGCTTTCGCTAAACTTTTTTCTCAAAACCAGTTACAAATACAACGCCGCGTTCTTACGTGATCTTGTATTTTTGGTTCATGGGTTGTATACATGACTGGCCGTCTGCACAGGATAAAGGTTATATCTTGATACATATGTCAGAATATAATTTGCCAATGGAGACCGCTCATTGCTCTTCGAGAGCAATATATATCAGAGCTTATATCTTGCCATCTATTGCCGGCAATTTGGTAGTTTGACAGCTACATTTTCATTTGCACGAAAACTTCGTGACTACAACATCATTATTATTTTAATATAAAAGCAAATATTGAATTGTTTTCTGTTAAAATATTTGTTATTATATAATTGGATGTAAAATAGCCTATTTTCTAAATTTTTTAAGTGATTAAATCCGGCAAAAATACGTTTTAGAAGGTATCTCACAGATGCTTATATCAAGATATAAAAAGCCCACACAAATATTGCCCCTGATATAATTTATATCTAGCGACTAAAATGACAGTTGGACAGCAATAAATTTTATCCTATATATACGGCCAGCAAAAAAAAATATTTTTCTGGTTGACGTTTGTAATTTCGGCGCCACGTTATTTTCTTTGAAAAGTAAACAAACAAATAGTTGTGTTCCAGGTGCTCACGATAAACGTTCAAAATAAACTCGTCAATTAAACAAATTGATTTTTCTTGTCCGCGCACTTGCTCACCACGACGATCAGAAGGCAAGTGCGCTTGCTTTTTGTCAAGCATAACGTGAGACGGTTGATAAAGATATTTGATCGTCTCCATGGCACTTTACATAAAAAAAAATCGAAGNCAAAACAAAAATAGCAAACTTCAAAATTACGAACGTAACACACTTTTTTCTCAATTGCTATTACAAATGGCCGCTTCTCAATCGGTCAGATCTGTTCTAATTGGTTCATGGGCACGGTCATGGTGGAATAAACAAGGTGGTGTCAGTTACATAACCTCACTTTTTTGGTAGCCCCATTTCGGCAATGCATATAAATGTAGTAGTAAAAAAAGGGAACATTTTAGGACCATTTTAACGCCCTTTTGAATACTATTTTTAAATAGTATGTATTAAAGAATTATTTTACCAAAACAACGTTAAAGATAATAAAGAATCGTTGTGTTAGGTTTACCCATTTCTAGTTATATCCAGAAAAATTGGTACGAATTTTCATGTTGTGGCGTTTTCGTACGCAAAAACTTATTGAGAGAGCGAAACAGCTGAAGTTCAAAGTTTTTACTGCAATTTTAATGGATAAATTTTTACTTGTAACTTGCTGGATGCAATAAACTAATAAGGAAATTGTTTTTGNTGGCTATTGCCAACACGAAATGAGAATTTCAGATGTACATAACGCGCAAAATTTAAAATTTTTGTATATGACAACACCGAATTTGCTGCAGTTTGACCAAACAAAATTAGTTTGCTGTGAGAGTCGCCAAACTCGCTCTCTCCGAGTTTGCTGCAACAACAATTGCACGCAGTTTGCCAAACAAAATTTCTGCATAACACCGACCTTAGTCACAGGAAAAGTGGTTTTTCGCGTTCCAGGTGACCTTTATTGTTTCGCTCTCTTTCAAGAGAGTAATGTTGTTATTTGACAGTTTTACAGGTTTTTACACGAAGTTATCTGGAACGCAACTAAAAATGCAAACAATTTTGTAGCACATGTTTGTGCTAGTCAATTTATTATTTTTGTACGCGTTTTTGCACTTCATTTTAATTTCATTTGCACACAAAATTTATTGAAAATCGCTTAAAAATCACTGACATAAACCACCGACAAAGTACACATAAAGAAAGAAGCAAAACAAAAATAGCAAACTTCAAAATTACGAACGTAACACACTTTTTTCTCAATTGCTATTACAAATGGCCGCTTCTCAATCGGTCAGATCTGTTCTAATTGGTTCATGGGCACGGTCATGGTGGAATAAACAAGGTGGTGTCAGTTACATAACCTCACTTTTTTGGTAGCCCCATTTCGGCAATGCATATAAATGTAGTAGTAAAAAAAGGGAACATTTTAGGACCATTTTAACGCCCTTTTGAATACTATTTTTAAATAGTATGTATTAAAGAATTATTTTACCAAAACAACGTTAAAGATAATAAAGAATCGTTGTGTTAGGTTTACCCATTTCTAGTTATATCCAGAAAAATTGGTACGAATTTTCATGTTGTGGCGTTTTCGTACGCAAAAACTTATTGAGAGAGCGAAACAGCTGAAGTTCAAAGTTTTTACTGCACTTTTAATGGATAAATTTTTACTTGTAACTTGCTGGATGCAATAAACTAATAAGGAAATTGTTTTTGGGTTTTATTATTGAAATTGACCAAATAAACCAATTTAAATATAAAATATATTGTTTTAATAGGAATAAAGAACCAATTTATCAGCTGTTCATGAAACTTGATAGTTATTACTGGATTTGCGTTCACGTACTTTTTTGGGTATTTTTTCTTTGAGAGCGAATTCGCAGAAATTAAGTTACTGGAGAGTTGCTGGCGAGTTACTGAATAATTTTTTAAACAAACACAACTACTCTTAGTAAGTTTTTTCTTCTTTTTAAAAGATCGATTATTTATGCATTATAAAAAGATTTTCGTAATTTTATTTGTAAAGCACTTGTATTGCAGCCTCTAGTAGGTGAACAGGCACAACTTCCAAAAACCTATTAAACAAGAAACGCACTTTGACTGACCATTTTATTAACAACCTGGCCAATTGAATAAACTCACCTGAAACTTCCAGCTAAATATCGCTCTTATATCGCAGCTTCTCGCTGAGATAAAAAACACAATTCACAAATCTGTAGAAGGTAAACATAATTAGTCTTTATTTGCCACTTAGCATAAATCCTTAAAATTGGTTACCTAAATTTGTAGTCAAAGTCCGGAAAACCTCTTCAAAAATGAGGAAAACCTCAAAAACGCGAAGAAAGATTTTCTCCAAAGTTTCTGAAAATGTTACTAGTTCGCTAAATTCTTAAATTATTTAATTTTTGATGTTTATTGTTTAGTAGTTTCGAGTTTATGAACGATTTTATTTAATAAAATTTTATTTAAAACTTATACTCAATACCATGATAAAAATATAGTAAGGTAGAACCGCTGAGAGTCACTTTTAAAATTCTTGACGTTTCCAAACAATTTAATTTTTAAATTTACTCACAAACTCACACACACATTTTCATTTTCAATCTCAAGCAACAACAATTTCGAACAATTTCAATTTTTTATTTTCACTTTTATATGATTTTAAAATGTTGGCAAACTTCAAAAAAAAATCATGGCCGACAAATTGAGAGAACGGTTCTACCTTGCTATGTTTTTATCATGCTCAATATCTCGAAAACTAAAGGAGATATCCAAAAATGGAGAACGCCATTTTTAAGACATTGATTAGTTTAATATGACTGCATCACTAACTAAATTTTTACTAATTTATCGAAATTTTTTTTGTCAATGTCTCGGAAATTAAATTAGATATCTAAAAACAGATAACACTAATCGAAATACCTTATTTCAAAATATATAACTGCATCTATAACTAAAAATCGTCAAAATTGCGCTTACGTCAATCTTTTATCCAGGCGACGACATATCTCATAGGTTTCTTATAGTTCCTGAACCCAAAATTTTTTTTTTATACAAAATGTGTTATTTTCGTACTTTGAAACTCAAACATGAGAAGAGGATTAATAGGCCTTTAAAATTATGTATAACAATCTATCGGTAGACTTTGATTGTTGGGTGTTTTTGTCGTGTAAAATTAAAAAAAAAAATACCTAATTTTGTTTATTTTTTCAACTTTAACTATCGCTTCAAATATTATACTGATACTCGGTAGGGTCCAAGAATGATAGAATACAAGATTGCGCCGATCAGAGAGGATTTTTGAGAATAACTTTTGTGTGACGTCACACTGGTGCAATGGCGAGAGCGAAATGCCAAAACGTGAGCAAGAATGGAAGAAGAAAAAATGTTGCAAGGAAAACGTAAACAAGTTGCACCAGTGTGACGTCATGCAAACAACGATTCTGTCAAATTCGTTAAGAGAGGAATAGCGGTCCGAGATCGGCGCAACCTTTGTATTCTCTCAACCGTGGGTAGGGTCGACCACCTACCTGAAAAGTTTTGTTATATGTACATAAACTAATGGCGTTTTCTGTTCTACCAAAAAATGTTGCCTTCTCATTGGCCTCTAGGCACAAATACTAAGGAAAGGGCAATGGGAATGCAACATGTTTTTGTAGTAAAGAAAAAGCCATACGAACACACTGCTTGCTAAAAAGTTGTAGTCAGAAAAATAATAAAGTTGTCTGTGAAGCAATCAATAAATAGGACTAGTTGAATAATGTGTTCCTTGATTTGACGTTATTAAAAGTACGATTTCTGTGTTCACCTAGGAACAATTGATTTTTTTTGCTCGCCAAACAAATTTGGGCGTACGGAAATTGTACGGATTTTTCACCCACCACTTTTTGTCCGTGTACGGATTTCAGACACTACACGCCTGGCAGCCCTGTTATCAAAACAAAAACAAATTCGATGAGAATTGTGCAGTGCATTTTTTAATTAATCCACTTTGCAAATTCAAAACAATAACACTAATATAAAAAACAAGGCTTTTGCTATTCCACTTTATCAGATTTATTATCGAATTCCACCTCTCCAACGCGCGTAAATCCTGAGTATCGTACAATTTTTCCTCTGTCGACGTTCAGCTTTGTTGCAAATTGTTGTGCAGGTGACAACTTGGCCTCCTCTTCGCTTTTATAACCATAATATTTGGCCCAATCGTTACGCCCGGTGTAGGCCATGTAGCAAACGAAACCGAATGCGTTCCAGGCGAGTAGCGCATACGCAACACTCAAACGCCGCTTCCAAAGCTCTGCACTATCCTCTGGTATTGGGTTTGTGTTACGACGCACCCAACGCCGCAGCCACTTCATTTGAAAAAGTGCCATTGTTGTTGCCGGGTCTGGAGACGATTTTTACTTTTTATTAATTAAATGTAAATATTACGTGCCTATCCGCGATGGACTTCTCCGAGCTCTTGCCAACAATCAGCTGGTTACGTAACATGATTTTAGCTAACCCTTACGTATTAACCCAACGAACATAAAAGTTAGGACTCAACAGGAGCCGTAAGAAAGATTCTAAAATTTTTTTTACTTATATTATTTAGTTTACTTTGATTTTTTTTATTGAATGTATTTCTATTGAATCCTACTTTTTTAAATTATATTAGTAAGTTTTTTATTTTTGCCTTATTCATAAAGAAAAAAATTCTTCTGGGGGAATTTTTAATTTTTGACAGTTTTACTAGTTTTTGTCCGAGGAATACGGGAATGGACCTGCCATTTCATTTAATGTCAGTTAAATTACTTGTAAGCGTTAGGCAAAGAACATAGTGATGCGACAAAGAGAGCGACAAGACATTTTCGGATAATAGCGACAAAAACAAACCTTTATTTTTCAATGTGGTAACAATTCAATGGTGCAGCGAAAAGCGAAGAAAGCGATAAAGAGCAACCAACCAATTCGGGGACTACGTGCTGCTAAGACTGCTTTTACACAGTTCAAGTATTGAATTCAACTCTGCTCGCATGTGGAAGAGAGGATGTGAGAAGAAAAGGGACGAGTACACATGCGTCTGTACCGTCAAGTCGTTTCAGCTTTCTTGCTTTGCTTTTGGCATTTTCGCTGCTTCCCATTTAAAGAACCAAAAGTTTTCGTTGCTTTCTAAGTTGACCGTTGCTTCACTATGTTTTGACGTTTCTTGTCTCTTTCTTCGCTATTAGCCGAAAATGTCTTGTCGCTCTCTTTGTCGCGTCACTATATTGTTTGCCTTATACATGACGATAGGTTGTATCCTTGACAGAATCCTTACATTACGTTTCTAGTTATCCATTTGCCAACACTACCAAATTGCGTTAAAATTTTCCACCCCTAACATAAATGATAGCGTGGCAGCACTGTCCATGCAAATAATTTACGTCGTCATACGTTTTTTGTTTATTGTGGAAATTGGATTCGTTCTCCAGCAGTTCTCTTTTCTTACTTTTATTAATTTGGCGTTGTTGCTGAATTATATATTTACCGCAAAAAAAGAAAAAACTTAAATTTGAGATACGAAGTTTACTTTACTACGTCGACAAGGAACGATCGAAATATATAGAAATAAATTAACCGTTGAATTAATTTCGGTAGCCGAGGAAGAGATCAAACAAGATTTAAAGTGCAAAACCAAATTAAATGTAATAATTACTAACAACACGATTTTCCAGTCTAAGGGCAACTAGCAAGTGTAAGGAGAACTAGACCTACAAATTTAATCTTACTATGTGAGTAATAGGAAGTGGCAAATTATTTAAAGCAGTGGCCACAAAAGAGAAGTTGGAGGATTGTGCATAAAAAATTTAGTGAAGCTAAGAAAAATTAATTTTGCTTCTAAAGATGCTGCCACGCCAACCAGGAGCCCAGCAACAGCAATCGAAAAGCTCCAATTTAGATTTTCGCAAACGGCAAATTGATACACTTAAAATATTCAACGATAAGTAAGTCGCAACTAATTTATATATTCAACTGTTTATTTAGCTTTACAATTAACATATCAAATTCTATTTATAACCGGCAGTGTTGTTGAAGTGGCTGAGCAGGAGGAATATTGCATACATTTCGAATCTGGTGGACGAACCTTATTACTTACTGTACAGCTTGGTGCGAATTTCCCAAATGAACGACCTAAATTAGCTATATCACCGACTGTACAGCATCATTGGGTTAATGCGGTAACGGGCGAAGTGGAAACGGCGCCTGGATTACTCAACGTAAGTGTTGGGAAGCGTGAGGCGGAGTTACTTGAAGGACATGCTATGTATGGAGAGTGACCTTAGTTTGCTACAAATCAAAACTTGGCGGTCAAGGATGCATTGGTAGCATTTAACAGCTGCTAAATGTTTCACCTTAAACTGACTGATAGTTGTTTGACCTTCGTATTAACGATTTTTTTCATAAGAAATATTTGCCAGTTTTTTGTACGCAATCAAGGTTTATGCGCGCACACTCGCAAGACTATCAAGGATATGGCACATATGCATGTATGCATATCTACATAGATATGTTTATAGGCCTCATAAATATGTAACTACGTATGTATGTATCTATGTACCCATATGTGAATTTGCATATGACGGGGCGTTAGTTTGTCTGATGATTAAAAATGTTCGACATTTAGGTGGGATGATACGTGGCAAGTGGCAATTTACGTACTTGCATAGTTTTGAACTCGTGTAGATTTCCGGTTAAATGACATAATGTAATGAAAGCTAACCGGCATCAGTAGTGTTACATACAGACACACAGATATATAACTACGTAGTAAGCCTCTGTTATGGGCCTACATCATTCAATGGTGAAAAAACAAGAAAGGGGATTCTTGTGGATACGCGTTTGTTAGAATGTTATGCATCAGTTTTACTGGGTTGGCTTTCCTTTATGACCGTTCGTTAGAGGAGCAGTGGGCGAAAGGTAGGTAGGCGTAGCACCTCTAACCCACCTTTTTGGAGAGGGAATGAATCGCCATTGACAAAAATGCAACCCCCGACTACCTAGGTCCCCCATGGTTCCCTAGGGACCCCTTAGAAAAATTGCCATTTGCGTTTATTCGCTTGGAAAATGTTAAATATTCATTGGCACAATACATTTTTATATACACATTTTTATATATAAGACAGCCCCAGGTTTACCACACAGAAAGGGAATTCTAGTTACCTCATCCTTTCACAAGGTTACATCACTGGAGCGGTAGCCCCAGTTAGGTGCACACAGAAAGGAGAATTCTACGTAGTAAGGGTTATAATCCCTAAGCGCGGCCGAAGGCCGCCTACGCAGAAAAGAATTCTACGCAAAAATACTGTGGACGCAAGTAAAAATGCGATTTTTGGCCATTTTTCTAAGGGGTCCGTAGGGAACCATAGGGGGCCTAGGTGGTTGCATTTTTGTCAATGGCGGTTCATGCCCTCTCCAAAAAGGTCGGTTGGAGGTGCTACGCCCACTCCCCCTTCGCCCACCGCATCTTTAACGAAGGGTCATAATGGAAAGTTTCCCCGTTTTATTTTCCATATTATTATTATTATTATTTAAAACACAGAAAGAAGAACAAATAAATTAGTTAAGACTTTTCTAAATTTTCTAATGTTTTAAAAGTCCAAATGATTTCTCTTCAACCCTTTATTTTAGTAAATATAATAACTAATCGTAAACTTTTCTTAGTACTCACCCCATTCAGATTTGGGTCGCGTTGTGCAGGCCGTTATACGTGAATATGAGCGTTTTCCGCCACCTGTAGCAAGTTCCGGCAGTCCAATCAATATTCCAACCCGTTCAGGCAATATCAACACCACAGCAACACCAACAACTGTAGCGGCGAAGTCGCTGGATAGCAGCAAGGAGAATTCACCTTTGGATTCGGCAAAATCTTCTAAAACCAATGATAGTAGCTTACCAAATCTATCCACACTATCATTAGATGAGCTGAAGCAGCTGGACAGTGATCCGCAATTTTTCGATGATTTCATTGAAGAGATGTCTGTAGTGCAGCATTTGAATGAGGAGCTTGATTCGATGATCAATCAAGTAGAGATTATATCACGTAAGTGCAAGAGTAGCAAGCGGAAAAATTCGTATGGCTGTTGAACAAAAATTTGGATATAATATTAATTTCCATTTTATTTACGCAGGGGAAAACGAGTCCAAGGAAACACATTTGGTTGAACTAAAACGTAAATTAAGCGACGATGTCACCGCGCTTAAGCATCTGGGCGAGAAATGCGACCAGCTGAATAAAAAGTACTTAAAAAAATCGGAGGAATATGCACCGCAGCACATACGCGTGAGTGTAGCATTTTCATTTTACTTCATTCAAACAATTAGTAACGATTTTTATTTAAATTCTTAAAGGAGTTGCTACAAATTGCCGCCTCAAATGCGGACAGCGATTGTGATCGACATGTAGAGCAATTTCTCAATGGTAAAATCGATGTACAAACATTTTTAAATAATTATACGCATTCAAAGAAAGTAAGCGCCGAACGCAAAGCCAAAGAAGAGCGCTTGGGTCACCAACTTAGCGCATTGGAACGTGCCGGCATTTAAAAAATAGCTAATATTAGACCAAAATGGTATTGTAAAGTAGCTACTAGACATGGCAAGAGCGAGTAGTTTCGAAAAGTCTGGCACACTCAAGAATTTCCAAAAGAGTTTGCAGAAGCAGATACAAGCCGTGCTCAGAAATGCATCAACAAAACATCAGTCGCTTTTATTACCACGCTATATCAACTTGTTTGTTTTTATATTATAATTGATGGATCCAATATGCGCAACCCCGGTTAAATACCGAATGGAAATGTATGACGATTTCGTTTCTGCCAAAAAATGCAGCCTTCTCTTTGCCCTCTACGCGCAAACACTAAGAAGAGGGCGATGAGAGGGCAACAATTTTTGTACAAAGGAAAACGACATTAGTAGCGCAAAGAGGGCCGTTCCATCAGTTATATTTTCGAAAAAAGGGGCTGATGCCTTGGCTTGCTGGATTTCCGAACACAGCCACATCTAGTATTTAAAGTGACTTTGGAAAGCAGTTATTCATTTTCGAAAATAGAACTTTCTGATACAACTTTTTGTCTTTTTAAAAGGTGAATGAAGAAAATTTCACTTTCAACTATGTTACCAGACATTTTTATGCGTACTTCATATCAGGAGAATAAACTAATCTCAATTACTTTTGATATTATTTCAACATTTTTATAATTGTGCACAAATTGATATCACCAAGGTGTATTAAATACATACATACATACATTTTGAATATCACAGCACTTTCAACAAAAATGAGAGCTGATAAGCCAGCAAAGAGTAAGTTGAAATAATTGTTTGAAAGTGATTAGCGCTGTTTCAACTGCAGATACACCATGCAAATTTAAATTCCGCAAGTGATTTCTGCAAATCTGCAAAAGGATTTTCTAGATGTTTACGCGAAAAAGTAGACTTTCACTTTCGCATTTTGACCGCAAAAGCTCTTGCATTGTCACGCCTAACCGCACTTTAAATGTAGTTGCTTGCGCGTGATTTAGCTTTTCTAAATTTTGGACAAAACGAAACTAAAGCACAGGTATTAGGCCAAAATTGGCAGCCAACCTCCTTTAAGTATGCATATGCATTCTAGTTTAGTCGGTAAGCTTCTACTTTTAACCCCATGGTTAGTGTTTTGTTCAATCTTGAATGTGTTAAATGTCATGTAATATTAAATTGTTAGTAAATCGCCACCAATAGTTGGTGTGTCCATCTCATTAAAAAAAAAATTGTAACAGATTTTTAGCTCTTAAATAAAGTAATTAAATTAGCATTCAATCATAGTCAAGCAGTAAAACTACATTTAAATTAATTTAGTGTGTTTTTTCTTGTAAAGAAAAATTGCAATACAAAAAAATATAAAAGGAGAATTAGGTATTTAAATTATTAATCTTGATCTTCTTAAGCCAATTCCATTGTTTTGTCCAACTACATAGTTACTAGTAAACCAAATAAAATATTGAAACATTGTGAGTGAGAGTCAAGAAGAGAAAACACAGAAGCTGCATGGGGACTTGACCCACTACCCAAACTCGACTAATTGACTTCATCGCACCAAATGTCGATTTAATGCAATTACATACATATGTATATTCGAGTATTGTATTGTACGTATATTCAAATTTCTCTTGGCCTGTTAAAGTCGCATAGACGAGCATGGGCCGGTAATGCATATTATGTAGCTTCTTTCTTTTCAATGCTCTTTGCCAGAACTCTTAAACACATAAATATAAAATTATTAATTAAATATATGTATATCATGCATACGTGGTGAGTGCATTTAATATTAATATATTTTTTTTCATTTTGTGCAATTATTACGTATTGTGCGTAGTAATGTGAATGTGTCGTAATAAAAAAATGGAAAGTCAAACAGAATTTATTGTGATTTCATTAACCACTTACATAGATATAGTAGATGTAAGCAGATATTTAATGGCAATAAGTGTATATTTTCTTCATTGCAAATAAATTTAATTCACAACATAAATTTAAAAGGCTGCGTTATGTTTGAAGCGGTAACGGTAAATATGTAAAAAAATAAAGGTTAACAGCAAATATTAAAAGGAATAGCTTTTCAAATGTTGTGGATTTGTAAACTAAATTTGTTTCCTTGATAAGTGGTCGTCAGAGTTCCGGGTAGACGAGTGCACTAAATTTTCGCCGTTTTTTTCGAAAATTTGTTCTGAAGGTGGTCGGTTGATTAGAGTGATTCCGGTGAAGTTCAATTGCGACCGCCTCAGAGATTACGTGAACGTCCGCTTAGGTGCCCTACCGTTGCCATCCGACGACCGTAGAGCTGAACGCGAATTCAGCACGGAAATCCGACCAGACTTCCCGACAGAAGCGGCAGGTCCAAGACCGAACTAGGTCAGCCAATCCCGACGATCCCATCTAAACGCTGGGAGCAAGCGCCTCGTCAACAACCACGGAATACATGTTTGCAGCACCTCAAATCTTATAATCCTCAAGAGGGCGTCAGTAAGCTGTGGACAACGGTGAAGTCCCTATCGAATCCGTCGAAGCACGACGGCCACACGTCCATCAAATTCGGCGATGAAATACACAACAACTCTAGGAAGTGCGCGCGAGATTCTGCCGACGATTTATTGCGCACTCTGGGTGGGGTAAAACTCTACGCAGCGTACATCGCAAATCACGCAGCATCCACCCAACCGACAGGCCACCAATATTCCTCCACAACAAAGTACATTACGCGGAATGGAATCGGCCGGCCCAGATGGCAACTCCATACTGATGCTGAAGCTACTAGATGCCCGGGAGTCTAACAGCTTGCCACACACACCATCCCAGAGATCTTTAAGAACGGAAAATTAATCCTCCTGGGAAGAGCGCGGAGTTGGGTGAATCCTTAAGGCCGATCACTAGCCTCTCCCCGCTAGCTAAGACCCTTGAATCGCTACTTCTCCAGCAATTCAGGAAGTTACATAGCACCACAACTGCACTTAACGCCATCACAACGCAAATGGTTTGACCCAAAAGCGCCCATGTACCCGCACCATTATGGTGACACTTATAGATGACATTATCTTGTCTTGCGTCCCGCACCAAACGTTGGATCGCCAGTTACCTCTGCGGGAGGCAATCATCTGTTCTATTCCGAGACAAAATAACAAAGCCGCGTAGGATTATACAACGTGTACCACAAGGCGGAGTGCTTGGCGTCACATTCGGCAGTCTCATGTCCTCCTCGGCACAGACTACTTAAGTTTGTAACAAGCTACAAAGCAGAAGCAAGGTTCTCAAGTCGCTGGCCGGCACCACTTGGGGATAAGTTAAAGAAACCTGCAAGTGACATATAAAACAATCGGCTGGTCTCTTGCAAACTATGCCGCCTCAGTATGGACAGTCGGCAAAAGTGAAACGCAGTGGAAAAATCTCCAGACATGCCAAATTGCCGCTCTCCGAACTGCGTGGCTCCTTATGTCTTCCGAACAACACCTACACGACGAGACAATACTGCTCCGAGTAAAGGAACACACCACGCTGCTGTCAACAGTTCTTGCAGGTATGATCGCAACACGAGGACGCCAAGAAAATATAGTCCTCGGTGGCCGGCCGCTTCCCATCCATATGAGTCTGAACTCCCGCGTAAACTAGCACCACATTGGCGCAACTCAGATCTGGCTGGCCACCTAACTCGTACCAGATTAGACCCGCCCAGCATGCCCACCCATCTGACACCTAAAGTGCTGTGGACTCAACCGATCGATACCGCTCGCTTTCTGGGACTAAGGTTGAAGGAGTCAGATGGGGAAGATGAATAATCAACCAACCAAATAAAGGCTACGTGCTGCTATAACAACAGCAACAACCAAATCTGCTTAGCTTTCGAGGCGTACATATTTCTGTAGTTCTTGAGAGAAAATTCAAGGTAGAGCTTTGAAATAAAGCAACTTAACGTACCTCCTTTATGGAGGAACTGCAATGGTGCACGGATGGCTCCAAGGCCCCTCACGGCATTGGTACAGACATATACGAACCCGGTGTCCATGGAAGCATTCTCGAGCATTGTTCAGGTGGGGGTCTATGCCATTAGCCCGTTTGCAGACATTAACCTACGGAGGAATTACCGTAATGAGGGAATTCATATATTGAGTGATAGCCAGGCGGCATTTATGACCCTCTAATCATTTGAGGTCAAATCTACCTTGATCCTTGAGATATCAACAAGCTTTAGGCCCTGGCGGAGCACAACATCATCCAGCTAATTTGGATACCAGGACACATTCAGGGTCTATCTAGGACGGCGGTCGCCTCGTCTCTTATAGGGCATAAGTCCTTAGCTGCGATCGGACCTAGCACAATCAAGGAAGACTAAGAAGTAAGTTACCTGCATAAGCTGGGGATCTGGTCGAATGACGGTTGTTGTTTCTGTGATCCGTTTAAGGAGATTCTATTAACCTTGCTTTGCGAGTGCGAGGCGGTGGAATGAAGACGGGAGAGGTACCAAGGCGAACTCTGGAAAATCGCTAACTCCTGAAGATATCCTAAAATTTCTGGGATCTCTAGGTTTGGATGAGGTACTGTATATGTTTGAGGGCACAATAGACCTCTTGGTCGCAGTACAAACCTCTTTATCATCTACCTATCTACATATTGAGCTCCTTATTTTCATTAAAGACAAAGTTCAGGCGGCCACCGGCAATATAAAACCTACCAAAGACATTGGTCTCGGCGGACCAATGCTTGCTTGTTAATGCCATCTTAAGCAGGTCCCCATTTTGACGAAGACGTGTGGAAAAAAAGCGAGGAACCAGCAAAGAAAAAGAAGACTGACGTATGACAACTCTTCCTGCTCTAGTAGCGAAGATAATTGAAGCCTTGCTTCTGCGGTGTTTCCTTGCTACCTATACTGAGCTAACTATCAATATGGTATTGATAACTCATAATTCTAAGCGTTTCCATCGCTGCGAGACAAGCGACCTGATAGCGTTTGACTGGTAGAAAGCTATTGACATGTTTTCAACTCCGTCTATATGTCTATCAAAAGACATTTATCCAGCCCCCCAGAGCATCAACGGTGGACGGCAGATTACATGAATGTTCGGAAATCGTTGGTCATATTTTGAGGTAAATCATTGAAGCACAGAATAATTAAACAGTAGTTCCCTCAGAAGAAAGCCTACACTCAGCTATTTTTTAATTGTAGTAAAAAAAAAAAAATATTTTTACCCAGGCTAGCAACAAAGAGTTCAAATAGTTTGCCGACGGTATTTGCAGCAAAGAAATTTAAGAGGTTTTAAACTATACTGCTATATTTTAATCAAGTCTAGTAGAGCGCAGTGGAAGAAAATACAAATCTTATATGTAGTGACAAGATAGCAAATCACTCTCGAGGTTGTAATTTGGAAGGCGCATTCTATGGTATTCCAGATTTTATCGCTTAACCTTCCTTGAGAGATACATTTCTATCAGATTGTAAAGATATTCGCATCAGGTTCTGCTGCTTTTCGCTTACCATAAGCCTGCAGAGAAAATAACAACCGTGGATATTAAGAGGTGCCACATGTCGTATGAGTAATTTTAGCGCATTGCATACTCCTATTGCACGGAGTTCCAACGTTTTAGGAAAATAAGGATATAAATCTTTCACTGGAATATATAAAACTAAGAAATCGTTTGGTACTTTTGTTAAAGCAATTTTATACTTAATTCTATGTTAAAAAAATGTCTTTCGCTGTTGTATAAGTTCCGACGACATTCTGGAGTAAAATGTGCCACTAGTCACAATGGAATGGCCGTTTAGTAAAAAAGTAATAATTACACTGTAGATTAGACAAAATTACACAAAAAAAAAAACGACGAACATTTGGTATCAGACATACTTCTGAGCCCCTTTACAAAGTAAGTTACGTGTAATGCAGAGCAGTCGCTCGGAGTACGTTACTTTACAACTGACAACGTAATGTGTCGTCGGAGGTGTTCACTTTGCGCTTTACTAGTAGTTGACATTGGCCATGATGACAATTTTGGTACTAAAAACTGAAAGAAAACATGGCTTACCTCGTAAGGTGCTTACCAATTTTCCCAGTGGGTGCTTGATAAATACACATACATACGTACATATGATTTCATTATAAAAGTTCATACATGGCGTATGAGTAACATTCTTTCCTAGTTATATTTCATAATAAAATTATTACGCATTTTAATGATAGCTTGATGCTTTTGTAAAAGAATAGGCTCTAACACTAATCGAAAGAATTTACAAAAAATCGTTTATTTTAAAATTTTGTCTCTATTAAATTTGCATCTTTTTATTCACAAACAACAAACAAACTTTAAATGCAAATAATTATAATAGATTGGCGCTTACACATATGCTAGTGTTTGGCCGAGCTTCTCCTCCGATTTGTGGTGTGCGCCTTGATGTTGTCACACAAACGGGTGGGACCTACAGTTTTACGCCGACTCCGAACGGCGATTGTATTTTTATGAGAAGCTGTTTTTCATGGCAGAAATACACTCAGAGGTTTGCCATTCCCTGCCGAGAGGCGACCGCTGTTAAAAGAAAACCTTTTTTCTATATATTTTGGCGATGTTGCTTTGTTTGGTACTTGTAATTGCATTGTAATGGTATTGGTAATAGTAATTATAACGGCAATGGTAATGGTAATAGTAATGGTAATAATCAAGGTAATGACAATGGTAATGCTAACGGAAACTAGTGATGGTATCGATAATGGCAACTGTAATGTAATAGTATTGGTAATGGTAATTTAAATAATATTAATTAAAAAATAGAAAGAGGAGTAGTAATGGCGATTTTAATGGTATTGATAATGCCATCTTAAAAAATCAATACTTGCGTTAATTGCATTTCAAATTGGCGTCAGTTGGCACAGAAAAAAAAGACTGGCGTTCCGTCCAATATCGCTTAGGCGGTTGCGGTGCCAATAAAGAAGAAGAAGAGGAGGAGGCTTTTTCACACCAACACTTTACGAATGTAACGGTTAAAATAATGATTGCACACTATCGGTGCGACATGTCAACCCTAAAATTTAAGTAGTACCCACAATGCCTTCCACATCGAAATGGACAACGAGGAATGTGTTGGTGCAAAGAAACCGAAATTTTACTTTTTTACCATTCGCTGGGAGCAAGCACACACTTTTTATTTGTGTACTATGCTCTCCAACGCGCTGCCTCTCTCGACTCACAATCTCAGCGAATTTTCATTTGATAAGCGAGAAATGCGCACGGTGTCTTCAAAGCGACGCACATTGGCACACCAACAATGCCTGTTGGCACTCATACAACGCGGCCACCCACCTTAACACCCTACCCTACAAGACATTGCTGAGCACTTTAGGCAAAAATTCGAACACAGTAGTTTGACTATTAGTACTGGGGACTTTCTGATGACAACATTGGGGGAAAAGTACTAAATTTTTTCCCATGGTCTGAACAAAAATTAATACTTTGATATCAATATGAGCACTCATATGCTACTCAGCTGTCTTGTAGGGTATGTATGTATGTTTGTATTTAGGCGAAGCAAAGAAAAAAAGGTATGGAAAATCCGAAAATGTTCGACGTGCCACTCGCAACGAGCGCTGTCTACTGTGTTTTTGAGTCTATCGGCAAACGAAAGCGAAAAATTGACAGTTGTGCCTGAAAAGCGGAAAGCGACGCACGTTTTTCGAACAAAACGGAAAGCTATAAAAATACCAAAACCAACTAAGTGTTGAATGGAAAATAGTGAATTTCTATTTGAAATACTTTAAAGGATTCTGAGAGCCAAAACAATTAAACGAAGAAAAGAAAAACAAAAATCAAAAAAGTGTTAGCATAATTGCATAACTGCGCGAAGGAAGTGAAAAGTGTGGTTGTCTTAAATATGTTTGACATCTAAAAAAAAAATTGGCACATTTGTATGTATTCCAATGTGTGTTGGTGTGTTTGTGCAAGCGTCATTATCCTTATGGTAAAATAAGTATGCGAAACTATAAAAATAAAGGATGCAGGCAGTGTAGTACATAAATACTAACAAATGATACTGTGTTTCTGACATAAATTGAAAAAGTAAACAACTAAGTAAAAATTGCGCAGCGCCGAAAATTGTGTGAAAAAGCCCTTCACATAAGTACATATTTGTAAGAAAAAAATTAAATGAGAAATTTCGATATGCATATCCGCGTTCTTTCTTAAATACGCATTCAATATTGACTTTAACTTGCCATTTTATATTTTGTTTTTTTTTTTTTGGTTCCGTTTTGTTTTTATTTCGTGTTTACGACTTTTTTATACGACTTCGCAATTGCCGGTCTTAATTATTTATACGACAATTTGTTTGTTAAGCCAGCTGTGGCCAAAGAATTATCAACACTAGAGACTTTACTTCTCTATAAACGTCAGCAAGTGTCGTTTACGAAACCAAAAAAAAAAGTAATAAAAAATAACAACAAAATCGTCGATAACAGCAACGGCGCAGCAGCATTTCAAGCAGCATCAACAATAGCAACAATAAACCGTTAGTTCAGTGGGGTCAATGACGAGCACGTCATTGAATTTATGAACTGGTTAAGTGAGTAGAATATCAACAAAAACAATTATATAATAGAATTTCGAATTATTTAGAACTTTGATACTAATTCATGGCCTCTTAACTAGAAAGGCATAAAAAATTTGAATTTTTGAATTTTTAAGAATACACAGTTCATTTAGTACATATTTAATTAAGTAAGATAATAGAAAATGCTGTTGTTGGCAACTTATGTTCATTTATTTCTTTTTAATAATTTTCATTTAAACAGAAACCATATAAATAAAACTTTCAGAGCTTGCATAAAGTTCACAAAAACTAATCAAACTTAAAAAAATGTTCATCAAAATTTCAAACTTTTAATTCAGAACTATTAGGGCCGCTAACTTACCTATTTTAAAGTATAGTTAAATAATTAGTTAAACTATAGTTTAAAATTGTTAAGTTAACGGCGCTTAGAAAGTATGCAGTTTTGTAGCTCATTAAATTTTAGTATAATAAAGTGCAAGTTTCAAGTTGGTAAAAATTACCGATGATTTTTTTTGTTTGTGTGGAGGGTGTTGCGCATTATCTTCCATTTGAAAATATATTTTGATCATTTCACCTCTGATTAAATTGAACTGGAACTTTTAAACTGATGGCAATCCTCTTCAAAAATATTTGATAACTAAAGCTGCGTTAAACCACTCTCTCCAAGAAAAGTGTTTTATTAATAAACATTCTCAATAAACCTTCTCTAAACCTTTCAAAACAAGTCGTTTTTGAATCCGTTTCATTTGAACCCCACGTTGTTGTAATATTATTGAAAAGGCGGTAATTCTAATCAAAAAAATATCCTATGTATTAATCCAGGCTTTTACATATTTGTGATCCAAACTCTATTGCATTAGATTCTGTCGTTTTAGCGTTAAAGGATCTAGATGCATTTATGGGTAAAAAAAAATAAATAAAAAATTTCGCTTACGTTTTTTTGCGGTTTTGGCTCGACATGGATGGATCGGGAGCAATCGAAGGAGTTCCTTGGGCTTTGAAAAGCCATTAACTCTCCATTAAAGCTCTCGAGCATTGAAATTAGATGCATTCATAATTTCGTAATTGGCTCGCTGCGTCTCGCCGATGCCCTCCATTCAAAATCTATGTTTTATCACAAAGGTCGTGCTAAGTGACTGCGACAACTACCATAACTTAACTTAGCCTAATGCTGTTTCGGCGACTCCGCTGGGCAGGCTTAAACGGTTTATTTCGGCTCCGAAGGAGAAAGTGCATCACAGCCGGTAAAAAACTATTAAGATTCTTGAGTTTTAGAGCAGCCTGCGTGCCGAACAGCTTGTTGTAAGCAGAGCCGCGCCTGTGAAGGTGGCACGTGGAAAATAACTTTTTTTTCGGCTTTAAAAGAGTCCTGGCTAGACTCAACCAAAATGTTTAGATCTCAGGATGGAAAATCATACATACCTTACCGATAAAGATCAGGAATCGTTGAAGTCGCCGGAATGTCGAGAGATGAATGAAAGGCGTTGGCTTCGGTCATCCTTGGATACTTATGCGGGTAGTCCGAGGAAACTCTGGACTAGCGAAAAGTTTCGAAAAGACCCGTTGTGATGTGATTGCTAGCTGATCGGCTTAAAATCGCAAAAAGCTATTCTCTTAATGTTCACAAAAAGTTGCAAGACTTGGTTTGGTCACTTTTGGATGCACAGTGATATGACTAGTTCAAATATCTGACAGTTACGCGCGCTAAGTAGTTAATTGTAATACCATCGTGGTAAAGTTCTTACTTAAGAACATCGGTCGTGCGGGTAGGGTTGGGTTTCTGTTCAAGGTGTGGTCTAATTAAAGTTTAACAGCATGGCTTTACCAGCTGATTAATTGTGTCTCGTGCTTTCGTGGTGAAGTGACCGAAATGAGTGAAAAAAATTTGTCATACTATGTTCAATAAGGACTTGATATACTACGGCGCTTTGGAGTTGCTGCAAGAATGAAGTCTTCGTCATAGTTTTGTGCTGGTAAGAGTTGTCTCGAAGACCTTCTACTGCGATTTTTTTTTTCTAAATAAAAATAAGCTCGACACAGGTATTCTAGGGATGGTCACTGGGTTGCCGAAGCGCACTTTGTCTGTATACCCAAGGCATCTAATTTGGCTGGAAATTTCAAGTAAAAATCCTGGATTAAGGTATGCCACATCTTGATCTCAGATATCAAATATCAGTTTTCTTGGCAAACTGGAGCAACTTTTTTTGTTTCAATTGCTGAGGGGGTAAACTTAGAATACATAGTTTAATTTGTACTTTTGTGTAATAAATATCCGCAATTCTATTAGCAAAATATGTTTAACACAGAGGTTTAATCGACAAAACAACCACCATTATTAGCTTTATTTATTTGCATAAGACAAAAAGTTCAGTAGGTTATCAAAAGTTCGCACCTCCTACTGGGAATTTACTTATCAGCTTTGTTTGCTGCTATGTACTTTTATTATTTATTTTTTAATTAATGCGTCATAGAGATGCACAGAACCTCATCTTGAGAAAATATGTATTAGAAGACCGTTTTTCTAGTTTTCTTAAGAGCCTTAGAGAGGTTTTCTAACTTAAATAGCACGTCTTATAACTTACAAAGTACAATGCAAGAGGACCAGGGACCGATCTATTCGAAAAAATCGTATTTATGATCCGATTTGCTTGAAATTTTGTACGTTGGTAGAATTTTGCATAGGCTAGCATAAAAGATCATTTTTTCTGGCAGCTGGACCAGGTACTGATCAATTCGAAAAAATCTTCTTTAGCAAATAGAATACTTTCTGTGGCCTAGTGATACCCCCCATTTTGAAATTGCCGCCAACTATACTTTACTGATTCAGCGCCGATTCACCATCCCACCGGATCATTATTGCCGCAACAACTTATACTGAGGATATGCCTTCTGAGGACCACGAAACCAAACGTTGGGCGGAATGTTTCAATAAAAAAATAAATTTTTGGACGGGCCGAAGTTCGCCAGGTCTGCTAGTAACTTTTGTTTGATATTTTTTATATTTTCTGCTTGGATATTGGAATATGTTTTAATTTATATACAACGCTAAATTTAGATTATTTGTTTTTTTTTTGAAAGAGTTAAAGTTTTGAGCAAATTGTCTGCTGATATTTAACTCGCACTTTTTATCTCTTTATTTGCTTAATTTCTGAAAAAAAAACAGACAACAAACAATAACATAAAACGTCGGATTGATTATTTAAGCGCAGCTCAAGAGACACACCTTAAATCAATATCCACTCAAATATTTTGCATTAAAGCCAGGTTTTGCTTCGCCAATGAGCGCATAATTAAATATGTGGTCACTTGTACAGATAATTAGCAGATACGCACTCGTGTCCGCGCTGATATGGCACATCCGCCGCCATCGTCGTTATCGTCATAATAATCGATTTTAAATTCAACAACGAATGAACTTTTTGCCCCTCTCTCTACTGGTATTTATTTTAGCTGATAATTATGACACCCCAAGGAATATAGATGGGTGTGTGAAGAGCAGCGCGGAATAGCGCACACAATGACAGCGCGGAATCTCATTACAGCAGTTAAGACTAGTACGGGTATGTCCGCATGGTTATTGACGTCGATGCACATTAAGATGGGTCAATGGTTTGATTATAAAAAGTTCATCTCAAGAAAAATAACTAAACTGACTTAATTTTTTATCCAACATGTGTATGGTTTCATTGCAGCTTTTAAATTATCACTTTGGATGACAAATATTTAATTATAGTTAATTGTAACACATTTTTAAGCATTGCGAAAATGGTATTCAATGCTAAAAACAAAATCTAAAGAAAGATTTAAGCACTTAAGACTACAACATATCCTGTGGGAGAAGCTTATTAAAGCTTTTCCTAGATTCTAAATCAGTGGTGCACAGAGAGAGCTTTTACTTTGCGCGCGTCCATATAAAACGGTTGTGGGCACTGCCTTGCCCGCTGACAATTAGATAGAGATTTTACGCTTTAAAATACATCCACAGTTTTAAAAAGTTTCTCTAAGTGGTTTAGAAATAATTATATCGAAAGCTATAGCCTTCAGATAGAGCTTTTACTCTGTGTGCTTTCATATATCATCTGTTGAAAGCTTTAAAAAGTTTCTCTAGGTTATTTAGAAATTTCTGCACCTTAATCGACTACCAGAGGGAGTTTTTTATTATGAACGGTATCTATATATAATCCATTGAAAGCTTTAAGAAGTTTCTCTAGGTTATCTAGAAATTATTGTATCGAAAGCTGTAGCCTTCAGAGAGAGAGATATTTTACTCTGCGCGCGCCCATATAAAATCTATCGGAAGCTTTAAAAACTTTCTTTTGATTATTTAGAAACTACTTTAAAGAAAGCTTTAAGAAGTCTCTCGGGCTATGGTTTATTCGTTGCAGTTTCAAAGCTAAGATATGATCTTTAAGACACTTGGGAGGGGAATTCACTCATAACATTCCAATTTAACTTCACGAGACATCTGCTTATCGAGTAATCACGAGTTTTTAGCCTGAGTTTATGAAACTTTCAATTCTGTTTCAAGCGAAATACACTTAAATATTCGCCTGAATTCGTGAATACTTCCTCGAATGCTCTGTATAGTAGATAAAACTCGGCACCCAGCTTTTCAGGTGTTGCGGCTTACGGATGCCACCTCGAGGCTCTAGGCGCTAGTCGTGATATTTATTTAATAAATATTTAAAAGTTGGTAATATAAAAATGAAGTAATAAAGATTAAGCATAAATTTGAGTTGCCTTTAGACACTCACCGATTGTCCTATTACACACCTTCTCATCTGCTTTCTAATGGCTGCACTATTCGATGATATTCTAATACAGCTACCAAAGAGGAGGTCTTATCGAAAAAGCTCTGCCTAAAAGCATTCAC